TGCTGCAGAAGCAAGCCCACCCCTGGTGGCTTGTTCTGAATAAGTCTAATGCGTTAAGACAAAGGCAGCTTTTGACAGAGTTCTGATCTTCTTGCCACTGATTCTTGTTGCCCCAGACACCACTACAGCTTCTTCCTGTTCACATTACAATCTTTCTGGTTGGTTCTCTGCTGTCTTTAATCTATGAGACAAATATACTGTTATGAATGAGTGTAGTAGTGCATCCCTGTAATCCCAGCTATTCAAGACTGAAGCATGAACATGCAAAGGAGAGGCCACCTTGGAAAATTTACCAAGACCCTGTCTCAAAATACTATAAATAGGAAGGGGAGCACAGTACTCTTTGGATTCTATCCCAGAACAGCAAAAACATACATAAAAAACAATATGTTTTTTATACTGTTATTAAAGTAGAAGAGGTGATTCTGCTATCTATGGAAAGGACAACGTGTGTAAGAAAGAGAGCGACCAACTCCTCCTAAACTGCCTGGAACTTTCCTGTTCTTAGGAGAGAAATTCCTGCAACACAGAAATGTAATTCTCTGTCCTGAGCAAGCCAGGGCAGGAAGGCAGCCAAGCCAGAGGGTAACAAAAGGAAAGACAGAGCATCTTCCAGAATTCACTGAACATTATTATGGCACAGAGCATCTGTACGTGCCACATACCTTGGAATTTCAGGTCCTGGTGGCAATAGGGCAGTGGCTATTTTTGTGGCCATGAGAAATGTGCTTCCCTCCCAAAATTTCAGTTCTCCCACTTGGCACACTAAAGACCTTACAGTGCTATGGCGATGCAGGTGAGACTATTTACCTAATGTGGCTCACGGCAGTGCCAAACGGCATCACCTCTTAGAGAAGCCATCTGGAGGGGAAAGACAAAGGGAGATATCCTTTTACTCCATTTCCTTATCCCTTGATATTCATTGATTCCAAAATAATTACCCAAGGAAATTAAAAAGCTCTCTGCAGAAACAGGTTACGTGCAGTACCATTTATCATGGTGAAAAGCTGGAAGCAAACACCAATGAAACAGAGACAGATGATAAATTATAGAATGGTGGATCCACTACCGGAGATCACATGCTATGGTCATGAGAATAATCTGATGGATGCTTGGAACAATCTAAATGGACATAGAAAGACAGAAGGCAAAGCTACCTGAACTAGGATGGAAGTGTGTAAATGTGTTACTGAAGAAAGTGGTTAGGATAATTCTGTTGTTTGATCAGTAAGATCCATGAATGGATTCTTCCTTATTTTTTCAGATGATGTACGTTGTGATATTATTTTTCATCCACAAATGCAATTAATAAGTGAGAAAATTTAAGTAATGGGCTTCATGGTCCTTTCTAGAATTAACATCACTCCATGTTACTCCCTCTGATGCCCTTGCTAAGGGCCTTCTCTGGATAGGTGGATATTTTGCTGCTCAGAAATCACCTGCATTTCAGTGGATACCAGGGAATAGGGAATGGAGCCAAAACTCCTCATATCTACAACAATGTCTCTCCTACTTCCAGCCTTCATTCCACAAACTCTCTGTTGGAGGTTTCTTAGGGGGGAGGTTGAAACAGGGCCTTACTGAACTCAGGCTACCTTGAACTATGTAGTCCAGGCTGGCCTCAAACTCCCAGCAATCCTCCTGCCTCAGCCTCCCAAGTACTGGGATTACATGCACCACCATACCCAGCTTATTGGGGTGTTAGTGAATTCCCTGTTGCACTGACCATAGGCTACAATCAAATAAACAAATTCTGGCTGATTTATGCAGAAAAAGAATGTACCAGAAGATTCCTGAGTAGCAATAGACATTTTTTTAAAAGCTATGCATCAAGACTAGGAGAAAAAAAGACACTGAGCCAATGATGTTGAGACCAAAAACACTGGCAATAGGGCAATGGCTATTTTTGTGGCTGTGGGAAATGTGCTTCTCTCCCAGGATTTCATTTCCCGCATTTGCCCAACATCACATTAAGAAATACAGAGAGATTTCTGCCGCAGACACAGCCACCATAGGACCCACCTGTCTGGCCTGCACTGCTACTGCCAAAACTGTCTCCAACTGTTTATTTTTCTCTGCTTCAGCCCACTAGGCTCAAGGTCCTGGTTAGGAGCACACACTTAGGCAAGTCTTGGTTGCACAACCTGTGTCACAATTGCTAAGGAGTAACATCTTCCTGAGAGGGAAGCTCAGCTTGCTTATTTAAAGACCCACACAAAGGTGAAGGAAGGGATTCTTCCCAAAATGAAAAGTCTGAATGATGACCAAACACTTGACCAAAACAAGATCCCCTTGGTGACTCCATATTCCCACTACACCTTTGTCTTTCTTATGCTCTACCTGCCTGGGGTCAAACCTTTTAGCATCACTCAATGGGCCCCAGGATTTATAGAATTCACAGCAGCATAGTAAACATATGTTCAGTGCCTTTTGTAGCTTCAGGGCCAGGGTTGGACCTGTGTTTCAGTTTGAAATGTTTCCTCTAGTTCTCCCACCTTATAGACAGTACTGCCCACAGCTACAAAGCCACCCCATCCTGGGATGCTACATGTTCCTATGCTGGACAACTTAGTCCACTTGGGCTGCTATAATAACATACCATACACTGGATAGCTGTGATTGCTAATCTTAATTTTCAATTTGATTGATTTGAGATATGCCTAAGAAACCATAAAAGCATATCTCTTCATGTATCTTGGTGGGGGTCAACAGTCTTAGAGACTTGATATGGTCCCTGGCCCCTTCTTCCCTGGCTCCTTGCCTGTCTTTCTGCCTTCCAGCTGCTGTGAGGTAAGCAGACTTCCTCTGTCATGCCTCCCACCATGATATTTCTGCCTTGGAACCAGCCCACCATGGACTGAAGACTTCAAAACTGTTAGCCAAAATAAATCCTTCTTCCTTTAAATTGTAAATGTCAGGTTTTGTGTCCCAGTGACAAACAAAAAAATGGTACCAGCATTGGAGTTACTGCTGTCATTATGCCTGACCATTTGGTTCAGAGTTTTCAGAATTAATTTGCATGAGGGTTTTGGAAAACTCTGGAACATGGAGCTAGAGAAATCCTAAGATTGTAATCTGACCTTGATGGGCAATTCTAGTATGAGTTCAGATGTCCAAAATGCCAATACAAATGAGGGTATTAAAACTGTGCTCATGAGGTTTCAGATAGGAAAGAGAAATCTATTGGAAATTGGACTAGGGGCCATGCATGTTACATTCGGGTAAAAATTTTTTCTGCATTTTGTCCATGCCCAAAAACCTTATGTGAAACTAAGGCCTTTAAAAACAACAGGCTAACTGATCTGACAGGAAATTTCAAGGTGGAACAACATTCAGTTTCTTCAAGCAATACAGATGGTTACTTTTAGCCCAATTTACAGAGAGAATCAGAAGCAAAAAGTAGAGCAGAAATATCTGAAAGACATTCAATTTGGCCAAAAAGGAAATGCACAGAAAGCTGAGGGAAAATTAGGTGTGATTTCTAAGGACATTAGTGCCACTGAAGAGAAACAAAGTATTTTCCATGGGACAAGAAGAAAGATGACTTGAGGGCATCTCAGGAATCAGCACGAACCCTCTCATCACAGGCTCAAAGGTAAACTCTATTGAAAGACTTCAGAATAAGAAGAGAACTATTGGGTGGCCTTCTTGCATAAAGAGCTGCCCAGGAAATTATTTCCGCAGGATTTGTGCCACAATACTCAGCATTCCAGACATTCAGAGACCACATTGATGGTCTAAAGGGTCCAGTTGTGTTCAAACTGGTGGCAGATTTTGACATTATCCATGTGATGCTGGTTTTTCAGACACAGAACATAAAAGAGTCATGGTGTCATGGAGGCTTCCAACCAGATTTCAAAGGAAGGCCTGCAAGGCCAAGCAATATGTGATACTAAGTTCTTGCCAGGAGCCCACAATACAACAATGCATAAAGCTGAGAATGAAGAAGTTGGAGACCCCAGGTAGTCATAGAAGTCAGAATGTATGGTCTCTTCCAGGAAAGCTATAAGCAATGAGCTGAACCAACCCGAGAAAGAAACTATTTGGTGTGCAACAAGTAAAGTCATAAGAATTGAAGCTGCACAAGCCATTTGGAGCTCCCATCCTGCTACCATATGCCCCAGATGCCAGATATGGAGCTATGGGATTTAATGTTTGCCTACTGGGTTTTGGTTTATCTTCTTCCATTCCTCTGTTCCTCCCTTTTGGAATGGAAATAATTAGTCTACACTACTGAACCTCGGTAACATGTAGCTTACTTTTTGAATTTTATACTGGTTCAGAGCTAAGAGTTTGCCTTGAGTCTCAAAGGATTTTCGACTTGGACTTTTGAACAATGATGGAACTGATGCGACAGTGAGGAAGGAATTAGTGCATTTTTGGATACGGGATAGTTGCATTATGTTAGCATAATTGTGACTTTGTTATTGTCTCTATTTGAGAATTAAGGAGATCTGTTTGGGTGTCTGGTTGACATGGGGTGGACTTACAATGGTTAGCCTTGTGGACTTGATTGGCTTGAGATATGCATAAAGTATGAAGTTAGGAAAGCACATTTCTAGGTGTGTCCCCACGACCTTTGGGAGTATATTTGTTCCCTTGACAGCTAATACAATAGTTTATAAATAACAAATTTATTTCTCACACTTTGAAGGACGGAAAGTCTGAGATTAAGACACCACTACTTTCAATGTCTCTCCCCCAGATGTGGCATCTTCTATGGGTGTACTCATGAGGGGAAAATGTTGCCTAATTTTTTTCATAGGGACTAATTCCATTCATGAGGTTTCACCCTCCACGACATCACAACTGCCAAAATGCTGCACCTCAAAATGCCATCACATTATAGGCTAGGGATTCAAAATAGGAATTTTCTGTGAACCTAAAGGTACAGACCATAGCACTAGGTTCCCCCAAGAAGGTCTTTCAGCCTAATCTCCAGCAAAGCCTGATTCAGTAAAGAAACTAAATGCATATCACTCAAATTTTTTCTTTGACAGAGGGGACTGTGGACATCTCCCTGTTCCAAGTGGCCCACTTTAAAGAGGAGGGTATGATCCTGGAGAAGCCAACCAGGGTGGACCACATTACACAGTCCTGGAAAACCCCTCCTTCTCCCCGATGGGAGTTCTCCTGAAAATAATCCCTGCTGTCCGGCGCTTCATCTGTATCACCTCCACCACGTTGCTCTACCATCACATCCATGCTGAGGAAGTAACCTTCCACCTCTACCTGATTCCAAGTGACTGCACCATTCGGAAGGTAGCCCTCAAAACCAAAATGGCCAGGCCAGGGTGGACTCATTGTAAATATGAAATATAGATGGACCCTCAACTGGGACTAAAGATAGGACTCTTACAAGTGGGAACCTCAACATGGGTGGATGAATAATACTGCTCTCTGCTCAGCCGCAGACTGGTTTTCTGATACCCCCTATTTTTCCTAGCTGTTTTTGCTGCTACATCACTAATGTCTAGACAAGCTTTTGTAGTCTCTTTCCAGAATTCAAAAGATGGGAAAGCTGCATGCCCAAATCTCACCCATTCTTTTCTGACAGTGATCCTATTGCCACCCTTAACAGAGTAGAGCCCAAGCATGAGGCTCTCGTTGTGGGAGAACATGGGGAGAGAGGGATGCAGAGGCCATGTAGCCCCCTTACTCACACACTGACATGACATCTCACCTTATTCAGCCCACATTCTGAAGAGCAGAATCACCCTTAAACATGTTCTGTATGTCCCTTAGGCCATAGATGATGAAGAAAAGAAGTTCAAGTTTGTGCAGATACATAAGCCACCCCCAATGGACTCCCTTTACATAGGCACCCGCTACACTGTGTCTGGTTCAAGAAAGCTGGAAATCATCCCAAAGGTGAACAGCCCAGGTGTTTGTCCCCACCTTAAGATCAGAAGATCTGCTTGGGAAAATCTGTCTGAAGGTCTCGGGGCTTTCTCAGCAATGGTTACAGTGGGGCAGAAGGCAAGTGGGATTTAGGGTGAGTAGGAAAGCTCCAAATAGTAAAAGAGGGATGCTTCAAAGATTACAGGTAAGAAAAGGAGATGGTGATTCACATTTTTAGCATGGGGAGGATGATGCTGTTTGACTTGGGGACAGAGGCAAGCATTTGGGCTATCCAGTGTCAATGATTTCCAGTCAAAACATACTAGGAACACAACTGTAGTCAAACACACTGTGGTTTTTACTCATTTCAGCACAACATGGGGAAACCTGTGGTGTCTCAGTAACGGGGTGTTAGAAAGAAATTACTAAAGGATTTGGGCCTTTGCTGGGTAATTTTGGCAAAAGTCCAAGGAAACATTTGCTTTAGGTTGGGTGTTGTCAAAAAGTAGGGTGATTGGGAAACCATAATCTCAAGGGAGGGCATGTGAAAGCAAGCATAAAGTCATATCCCTAAACATATAGAGTAACACCTTTACTATGTGGAGGGGGTGGAGGGGTTAGCATTTTGTGGCCTGCCTGATAACCTGTCTAAAGTTCATGTCCTGTTTATGTACAGCAAGGGACAATACAGCTTAGCTGCAAACCTCATATCAGTTTGCAATGACGTTGAGCTCTACCTATAAGGCTTGGATCAGTTCCTAGCCACTGGGGGCTATTTTTGTTCTTTCTAACTATCCACCCTCCCCAGTTTTAGCCAAAGGCAGGTGACCTTGAGCCACTGAGAATTAATACACAGTAGTAAATTTTCAGTATACCCAGATTTGCTGCTTAGGCAAATCCAAGAGGTGTCCACTTCATGGCAGTCTGTAGTTATCTAGGGTTAGAAGAGTGTGAGATGAGCGGTGGAGCCATGTGATACGACAGTGGCTGCACAGCAACGTTTAATGCACAGCGTGGGATATGTCAGACAGTGGAAACAGGAGCAATTAACAAAACCAATAAAATGATCAGTCTTTGTAAAAGGTCTCAAAATTAGGGCCCAGATTATGAAACCCAGAATCCACAGGGGTCTGTTGAAGAAAGCCCAAAAGTCTCCTTTTTTCCTTTCCTTAGTTACAGATTACCCATTTGCAACATGTATAAGAAATCATGAGGGCGGGGATTTAGCTCAGTGGTGCCACGCCTGCCTCACAAGTGCAAGGTCCTGAGTTCAATCCCTGGTACCAAAAAAAGAATTTTTTTAAAAAAAGAAATCACAAGGAAAGAATGGAAAGGAAAAAACTATTAGAAAAGAAAAAAAAATGGAAACAAAGCATGTAAATAGGGAAGGGCGCACAGGTAATGGGGAAATAATAAGAACCAAAATACATCATGTACAGGTACAAGCACCCAATGATAAATAAAAATGTACTGTATACCTAAAATGTACCAATAAAAGAATTTAAGCAAAAAAAAAAGAGAAGAAAAAGAAAGAAATCACAAAGTATTTGCTATAGTGAAAATTTCCCCATGTCTACATCTTAGATTTTCATCTGCAAGTTAGCGTGGAGGATAATAGATCCAACAGTCAGTTTGCTTCAGAGCAGTAGCTACAGAAAATGGACAAGAGAGTTTTTCATTAAATTGTAGAAGGAAAACATCAGGAATCAGAGACAGCAGGATGAAGGTAAAAGAGAGCAAATTGGTGGTCCACAAAGTGTCAAAATGAAATAATACAAAAGGTTAGTACTAGAACTAACAGGAAAAAATGTTGAAGAAAGAAATGTTGAAGAAATAAAAAAATTCATGTTATTCTGACACCTCTGGCAGAAGCTGCACACTTTAAAGACAGCAGCTTCTGAAGGATTCCTGATAATTTTATTAAGTGTCTCCAGATGGAACCAAGATTCAGTAGTTAGAATGAAGGGATATTGATGTTTTAAGTTGGGAAACATGAACCTAAGGGTAATTGTTTTGTAGTTTTCCTGCATTGTTAATTTTTACTGAGAGATTATAGAGACATAATTTGATTATTCAACAATCATTAATCCACACTAGGTATGTGCTTCAGTAAAAGTAGTTCGGTAGACATAACAGAAAAATCTCTGCTCTTGGGAAACTTACATCATGGCAGATAGAGCCTGCATAATTAGAGGCTTGGTGACTGTAACACTAATTGTTGTAAAATAAAGAGAGCAGAGCCAGGAGTGGTGGTGCACACCTGTAATCTCAGTACTCAGGAGGCGGAGGCAGGAGGGGATCACTGAGAGTTCGAGGCCAGCCTGGGCTACGTAAGTGAGTTCTAGGTGAGCCTGACCTATCTCAAAAAAAAATAGAGCAATGTGAGAGAGTGACTTGAGCTTGGTCTTCTTCCAGAGGTCAGACAAGGCAGTTCTGAAAAGACACCACTTGGTTTGGAACCTCGGTGACATGAAGGGTTCAGCATATGAAAATTGGTCGCTGAGTATTTCAGACAGCAAGAATGTGTGCACGTGAATGGAAGAAAAACAATAGAAACAAAGTTTTGTACATGGTGAAGGGAAGAAGGGTTGAAGGGAAGGGAGGGGAATGGGAAAAAAAGAATTAAGATAGATTATGTACAGCTACAAATTGCCTGTGATGAATGTGATTGTTATGTACGTCAAAAGTGTACCAATAAAATTAATTTTAGGAAAAAAATGTGTGCACAGGCACAGAGGCAGGACCAGCTTGACAGCCCCACATGACAACAAGTTGGCCAGTATGGCAGAGTCTAGTCCCTGCAGCAAAAGATGGGGTCAGGGGCCAGGGATTTAGCTCAGTGGCACCGTATCTGTCATGCAAGTGCAAGGTCCTGAGTTCAATCCCAGGTACCAAAAAAAAAAAGATGAGGTCAGACCTGAGGCAGAGTTTCCCAGGGCTCACTGGCCCTGTTAGCCTTGATGTAGAGTTTGGAATTTGTTCTAAGAACAATGGCAAGGCTTTAGATAGTCTGAAATACAGTAATACATGTTCTGATTTACTTTCAAAAGACACCTCCTGAATATCCAGTGAGAAGGGTTGACAAGGAGACAAGAATGAAAGCAGGGACAAGTCAAAACACTGCAGATGCCAGCCATGGTGCCTTCACTAGAACAGTAGCAATGGAAATAGAGAAAAGTTGATGAATTCCAGACAACTGAAACACAGGCAGTTACCAAAACTAAAATAATTAGCCTTGGAAACAGAGCTCAAAACCTATTTGGAGGTAGAGGCAATAGGACTTGGTGGATTGGGAGATGAAGGATAGTGCCTAAATTTGAAACCTGACTGCTCAGTAGAAGCTAGTGCCAGATACTTAGTCTGAGAAAACTGAAGGAGAAGCATGTTCAGAAGACAATTGGGAACTCAAGAGTTCTGTCTTGGATTTGATTTAGGAAAGGAAATAGATGTAAATTTTCTGCCTATTAGAAGTGGGTTGAATTTATGGAACATTAGGAAGACAGGCTCTGGGATCAAAAATAAGGACTTGAGTTCAAGAAGGAAGATATGGAGAGGGCCGGGGATTTAGCTCAGTGGTTCCAACACCTGCCATGCAAGTGGGAGGATCCGAGTTCCATCCCCGGTACCAAAAAAAAAAAAAAGATATGGAGGATGATGGAGCTGGTTCAAGAAAAAAGAAAGCTCAGGATGCGTGAATATTACTTACGATGAGCCTTGACTCAGCCTTGACAGTTAGGATTAATAGTCTGAAGCAGACAGCTAATTTCACTATAAGAGATAATCAGTACACCTATGGGGTTGAGCAGGGCCAAGAAGGTATAAAGTGGGTAAACACCTCACTTAACTATGACTAGTGGCTTTTCACGTGGTTGCACATTTTCTCTTGATGAACTGGAGCTCTGCTGTCAGACCCCTGGAGAACCATTCATGTGGTATGCACTGTGTCCTCATATGCCTGAAACAGTATTTATGGTCTAAAGGTGGTGACTGATTTCTGTACCTGAGATAATCACTGTTTCCATGGTGGTGAGCAAGACCAAGAAGGTGTTAAGAAGGGAAAGACTTCACTTGCTGTGTAAAACAGTGGCTTCTCACCTGGTGACTCTTTCTCTAGGAACTAGAGCTCTGCTATCGAAGCCCCTGTGAACCCCAGCTCTTCTCTGAGATCTACGTTGCCAACTTTGGGTCAGGGATCCAGCTGCAAATAAGAAACAAGAAAGATGAAACACTAATATGGGAGGCCTTGTTGAAACCAGGTAAAACCTGAACAAGTCGGCTCAGAAGTGGGAGAAAGAAAGTTCAAGTTTGTGTCTATGTGTGTTTTCATCTGTGTCTGTGGGTATTATAGTAAAATATAAATATAAATCGCCATATAAATATAGTGCAATAGTCCAGAGAAATTATGTGACTTTTTCAAGTCACTTGAGGGCTGATATGAATAGAATTTAAACTCATTTCTCTCCTGTGCACCCTGGTATCTCCACACTTCTCCTGAATTAAGAGGTTTAGGCATCTACAAGGCCTTTGGCACAGTGTCTCATCATGGCTTGGCTGTGAAATAAAAGAGTAAGCAGAGCTGGGCATGGTGGCACACGCCTGCAATCCCAGCAATTGGGAGGCTGAGGCAGAAGAATCGCCTCAAGTTCATGGCCAGCCTGGGCTACATGGTGAGTTCAAGGACACACCTGAACGACATAGCAAGACTCTGTCTCAAAAAAACAAAAATAAAAAAGAGTAAGCAGTAGAGGGTTATATGGTTGATAGATTAAATCAGCTCTGCATTTTGTCCTGGATCAGGCAACATTTTCAAGGTAGACATCAGGAAATCAAATAAAAAATTTTCAGGAGTAAGAAAATCTTTCTTAGTCAAACACTACCACCCCCCAAAGTCTCCTAATCAGTCCTTCTAGGAACAGCTAGCCTTGTCAAATGTCAGTGGTCAAATTTCAAATCTTCAGAGATGCTATAAAACAAGCTTTACTGCACAGTGAAAGGAACGTGGGCTTTCCTCATCCTTGGTAGGGAGGCAACCACAGGTAGAGAACTAACTAGTCAAGCATCAGACTTGGGTTTGAATTCAACTCCTGCACTTACTGGATGGTCCTGAGAAAAATTCTTAACTCATTTGAATCTGTGGTTCCTCATCTGCACAATAAGGCTCATAATTACTGACTGATCATAAATAAATAAGATACACATGTATAAATACCGAATAGTTTCTCTGGTGTGAGAAACTGAAAGTGCAAATAAGGACTAAAATTACTGACTGATCAAATTGTTGGAAAGATCCAACAACATGATGTCTGGACATGCTCATGAGGTGATCCTTAATAAATGGTAAATATATTGTTCTTTTTCTTTTTGTTAAGTTGACCTCTTCTTAACAGTCTAATTCTGTCCTTTGGAGCTTAAAGAAGTCTATCTTCCCCATGGGAAAGACTTCAGATATTGGAACACTGTGATCATGTCTCCCCTTATGCGAATCAAACATTTCTAGTTCCTTCCACTCCTCCTCTTATATTTTGTCTTAAATTCTTGACCACCCATTCACCTTCCTCAGTAGATGCTCCAGTATGAGCCTGAGTTAGGATTGGCTCCAGTCCAGTGAAAGGGAGCGTGACGAACATCCCCTCACAACATCCAAATGAATCCAGTGATAAAAGTACCACCACCCAGGTCCTTGCACTGTTAGGTCACACTGAACTCAGAGAATAGTTTAAGTTCTCTTTCAAAGCACTTGGTCAGATTCTCCACTAGGGAATCAGTGCAGTCCAAGGCAGGATAAATCCAAGTCTGAGAATTTGTGGCAGAAATTATTTGGCTTATTCAGATGCCTTCTCTCTCATTATTAGTCTATGATCATTGCTTCAGGGCCTTAGTTTCCATATACATAAAGAAAAGATTCCCCAATGTTTAAGAGCCTTTCCAGTCCTTACTCCAGATTCTATCAGAATTTGACTGTAGTTTGTTCTTAGAATCAAAGAATTTCAGAAGTGTATGGAAGATTTGGGGTATGACAGGCATATTTGTAATCTTACAGATGTCTCTTCGTATTTCTTTTCCTCCAGGAGACCTCAGACCTACAGCTACTCTGGTCCATCCAGTTTCCCTAGGTCAGTAATAGCTGTCAGAGACCACAGGAGACAGTGGTTGTCCTCAGGTGTACAATCTAGTCCTGAGAGGAAGAAAAGAGGGACAGGAGAGGACTCTCACTGCAGACCTCACCAGGGGATAAGTTGGAAAGGCATGTGGCCAGAGGCAAGTGCCTGCCCAGCCCCTCACTCCTGTCCATGGCAGCTCTCCCATCCCTACTCAGCCTCAGTGCCCCATCATGAACCCCTCCCCCACACCCAGAGAGAATGTAAAGCTAAATGCTGGCATGAAAAGGGGCATTGGTACATTTCTGGTAGTCTGTCCTTCCAGAGGTAAAAGGAAGTCAGGGATGAGAGGAGCTAAATGGCTATGGGGAAGGGGAAATGGGAGGGGTAGGGGAAAGGAAAGAAGGGAATGGAATTAATATGAGAAAATGAAAAAATGGAAACAAAGTCTTTGTAAATAGGGAGGGATGGAGGGGTTGAAGAGAGGGCAGAGGAATGGGGAAAAAATAAGAACCAAGAGAGATTATGTAAAGGTGCAAATTTCCAATGATGAATGTCATTATATTGTATACCTAAAATGTACCAATAAAATTAATTTAAAAAAAGAGAGAGAGGAGCTAAATGAAGAACCAAAAGTGTGTGATCAGATGTAGGGCCCATAGGTGGGAATCTTTCTTTGCTCATTCCAGGTTCACCTTCACCTCCGAATGCCCTGGCCTTACTGCACTTCATTGACCAGCACCGGGAGCAGCTGGTAGCCCAAGTAACATCAGTGGACCCTGTGTTGGACAAGCTGCATGGACAGGTGCTGAGTGAAGAGCAGTATGAGAGTGTGCGGGCTGAAGCCACAAAGCCAGGCCAGATGCGGAAGCTGTTTGGCTTCAGTCGATCCTGGAACCGGGCCTGTAAAGACAAAGTCTACCAAGCCCTAAAGGAGGCCCATCCTCACTTAGTCATGGAACTCTGGGAAAAGTGGGGTGGAGGCATGGGGGGACTGTGACAGCTCAGTAGCTGAGGTCTAAGCATTCTCCTCTCTTGTGGGCCTCGGTTTCTTTATCTACGGACAAGTTGTCATCTAATTTACCTGCAGCCCTAAAGTTTGGGAAGAAGTCTCTTCTGGGCATTATATGTTCGTGTCCAGGGACACCTCAGAGGCACCCTAGTGCCTCCCTTGGCTTTCAAGGGGCAGCTGTCCAGGAGGGATAACAGAATCTCAGAGAATGTCTATCTGGTGCTAGGAGGAAAATATCAGACCACTTCTCTTCCAGTAACTCCTTTATACCTGCACCCTTTGCAGATCCTATTCTGCTGCCCATAGTACCAGGCCAGAACCCTCCCTGTCCCATGTAGATGCAGACAGGAATAGGAGGGGACATGGGACAATTCATCTCCGCCTGGAGACCCAGAGTAGAAAAGACACATGTCCTTGGAAATTGTGCTTCATTTATAAGTAGGAAGGAAAGAAATTTATCTATCATTTATTCTGTCCAACTATCCCATGGCTGGAGTTGACCTAAAAATGGTGGCAGGGGAATTCTCATCAGGGCTTTTCCAGACCATCCCAAGATGGGGCTGGCTGGGATTTCAAAGAACAAAGCACTAAATAGCAGCATAATCCATCTAAAACATTAGGTAGAGGAACTTACTTATCAAGGGAATCGTTGTTTTCCTGATGGACAGTGAGAAAGAAGACATTCTACCCAGGTGTGTCCATGAAAGGCCATTGGGTCATGTCATTTATCAGATGGTTTATGGTATTTGACTCTGGGCCAGAGTCAGTTTCTACATGTTCAGCAACACACTGGGTATTTCAGTGTCTTGACCTAAACAATGTTATCACTTCCTAGGAATGGACAAGGCCATGGCTTAGATTCCATACTTCAGGGATTCATACAGATGGCCAGGTCACAGAGCAGTTGAGGCTCTCTTTCTCAGTCAGGTCAAAGAAAGGAAAGGCAGAAACTGTGGGCTTCTCCATTGTCCATGTTGAACTTGGCTTTTCTATTAGTTCAGATGTGTACTTTGTTGTTTCTAGGGTCTAGATCAATTTCTGGGGCCAGGAGAGGGATGGAGACACAGGTTGGAGGGGGAATGGAGTCTAGGTCTTGGCTGAGTCATCTCTTCCTGTGAAAAGTGAATCTATGCCCTCCGTCACTGCCCTGTGCTCCTCCAAAACCTTGTGTCCTTCTTGCCTCATCAGAGCTCTCAACACATGGCATCAGCCCTGTTGCTTCATTGCTTATCCCTCAACTAAATGGCAAGCTTCCTAAGAATGGAAACCATGTCTGACCTGCCCATCAATTCCTTCCCAACTCCTAGTACAGTGTCTGACATACCTTGGGTGTTAAGTGAAGACTTATTAGCAGGAAAATGACAAAGGAACTTTCTCTGGACACTTCCTTTAATTCCCTCTCTGGCCATCATATTATCAGTGATACCAGAGTCAGGGGTACTAAAATCCCAGATTAGTAGGTCACACCCTTGACCCCAGTGAATCATAATCTTAGAATTGAACTCACTGCTATTGAACACTCATAAAAACATTGTCTTCCATTCATAGGAGCAAAGCCTCACTCATGCTGCCACTTCCCAAGATTCAGAAGTACAAGTTGATTTTATGTCCCTCCCCACAGTCACTGCACTTGAGCTTCCATTCTTTACTCTTCATTTCCACTGCAGTATCAGTTTAGAGTGAGATTGGGTAATGGGACAATGAAAAGGAGGAATATGAAGTCTGATTAAAGAACCCACAGCATCTGTCAGAGAGAGAAGGTTGATGGATAATCAGATCTTAGTGATTGAGACTCCTAGGTTCTGACTGGGTTTTAGGGTGTGAAGTAGAAGGGCTAAGGCAGGCAGACTTGGTAAGAAGTCCCAAGATATAGCTGGTCATGGTGCTGCACACTTGTAATCCCAGCACTTGGGAGGCTGAGGCAGGAGGTTCACCAGTTCAAGGCCAGCCTAGGCTACAGAGTGAGTTCAACTACTGTCTTAATTACTTTTCTAGTTGCTGAGACAAAATACCTGACACTCAAGTTAAAGGAGGAAAGGTTTATTTGGCTCACCGTTTGTAGAGGTTTCAATTCATAGTTGGATGGCTCCAAGGCAGGTTCGCATGTCAGAGGGGCATCACAGAGGAGAAACAGTTCATGGTGGGCAGAAGGTACCAAGCAGCAAAGTAGTGAAGCAGCAAGTGATAACAGTAGCTCTCTTTCTGTCCCTTATATTCTATCCAGGCTTCCCACCCTAGGGCTGGTAGCACTCACACCCAGGGTGAGTCTTCCTATTATCAACTCCCAGAACTATGCCTAACCAATGAGTGAACTAATTTAAAAATCACATAGCCTTGATCCCAAAATCATATACTTAACCCCAGCATTACACACTGCAGATCTAGCCACCCCACCTATGACAATATGAGGCTCTGGGGGGACATTTAGACACAAGCCATAACAACTACATAGCAAGACTCTGTCTCAAAAAACAGACAAAAAGTTTTTGGCCCTATCACTTACTGGTTGTGTACCTTTTATATGTTTGTTAACTACTTAAGTTTCTTCTATCCTATCTCACAAGGACATGCTTCAGCTTGAACAGGTGCCACAGCCTGAAGTAAAAGGCAGAGGGGCTTCTGGAACAGGGGGCCACCTCATAAGCCCACAGGCCATAAAGTTAGGAGGCAAAAAATGTGATTTGCTGGATTCCAAAACTGTAGATCCTGGAAAGAAACCACCCATTCAACCATACAGAGAATTTTTTTTTGGTACCAAGGATCGAACTTAGACCTTGTGCTTGCGAGGCAGGTGGCAGAACCACTGAGCTAAATCCCTGGCCCTTTTACTCATTTTTCTCTCTCTTCTTCACTGATTAATTAAGGTTGGAAGGACTTTTAAATTTTTCTTCTTTTTGCTTTATTTTCTCCTTTTAAGCTTGTTCCTTTTAAAGTTTTCTTTTTTATTCTCTACATTTCTCTCCATTTTTCTTTTATCATCTTATTCTTGTTCAATTCTTCTGTTACCTTTATCTAATTTATTAATATCCTACTCCTTAGGATCCTTTGTCTCATTTTTGTCTCCTTCTTCTCAACTTCTACTGTTTTTCAAATTTTCTTCTTTCATTCTCCCATTCTCACCCCCCTATGTCTTCATTAGTATAACCCTTAAGCTTCATTAATCTTTAGATAGGCTATTACTGTTGAATTATTTTCTATTGTTAGTGGAGGTACAGCTGTTGCATTTAGCAGATATTTATTGTATTTTGATTGCAATATGAAAGTAGGATTAATCATTTTTTAAAATCTAACCTTTCCTCCCTACTTCTCTAGCCCCTTTCCATCTGTTCTTACCATATGATCTCCTTAATAGACATATTTCTACCTTAAAGGCTTTTCTGCTATTTTCTCTGCCGGGGATTATCTTTCCCCCACAGATCTCCTTTGAGCTTGACTCAAATCTTGCGCGGAGTCATACCCACTCTAATATTGTAATACAGTTATGCCTTGGTTCATGAACACTTCTGTTTGCAAACAATTTGGTTCACAAACAAAAGCATTTGGCAAATTTTGCTTTCATTTGCAAACTCTTTGTCAGGTGGCAAACACAACGACAACCATCTTCACCACACAAAAATGCAGCCATCTTCCCCCAAATCGTAAAACAAATTAAGTTCTTAAACCAAGGTACCACTGTATATCCTACTCTATACTCCTGATCTCCTCTACTCTGCCCTAATTGTCTATTTTCTTTCTTTCTTTCTTTCTTTCTTTCTTTCTTTCTTTCTTTCTTTCTTTCTTTTCTTTGGGTGGTTAGGGGTGCTGGAGGATTGGGGGGTGCTGGGAATCTAACCCAGAGATTCCTATATGTTAGGCACACATTCTACCACTGAGCCACAATCCCTAGCCTAATTTTTCTATTTTTTATGCATAAATCACTGCTGCAACTCACATGCTAGAGAAGTCCCTGGTACTCAATAAATTATTGAATGAATGAATGAATGAATACATGCATATAATTTACATTATGAAAATTAGCAATGGTTTCCAGGTTAGTACAGATTCCGTATATACAGTAATCTTTGTTCCCTCATGACATCCCATTAAACTATCCATGAAGGAATAAAGCAAGTACAATCTCAGGAGAACTGGAGAAAATACAACACATTAGATGTCATGTCACCACAAAATTAGAAGATGGAAAGCAGATGAATACAAGTCTGCTTTAACAGAACAAGGAAAGCTGAACCCAAGGCTGCAGAGTTTCAGTAGAAGCTGATTTGCACTGCAGAACCCAGGACATAGCCAGGACCTAGAAGTGCTGAATCTCTCCCAGGTACTCACAGGTGAAGCCTAATGCAGCAGGATTTGTTGAAAGTCTGTATTAGGAGCAGCTAGGTAGGGAGTAGGCCCCCAGACCTCTCCCCATCCTCATCAGGCTACAGGGGTAGACCACTACTTCTCCCCTAGCCCTGCAGAAGGCTGAATGTTGGGTCTCTGTAGAAGCTTAACCAGGCAAACTCCAGGTTCAGAAATATAAGCTGCAACTGGGTCAGCAGTGTGAGGCACTGTGTTGTACAGAGTG